AACTTAGGTTTAGTGAACACCTATGTGTGTCATGTATTAGGCAAGACATTAAGAACACAGAAGGGAAAAGAAATAGAACCGAACAGGCCTCCTGGAGCTTATAGTCTAGACTCTGGAAGAAAATGAATCCTTTAATTAAAAAATTACATGAACAGATACAAAATCACAGCTCTGGATAAATGCAAATGAGGACGGAGCACATGATGATGTAAGTGTGCAGATAATAGGAGATTTAAACTATTGCAGGGGTTCAAGGTGGATTTTCCTGAGGAAGCCTTGATTGCTGAAATATGGACAAACAAGAGTTAGTTTACTCAAGAAGGAAATGTAGAAATTTCTGGGTTAAATAGTGTGTTTCAAGACCTGAGATAGCATGGAAACAGGAGGGAGAAGACAAGGGAGATGAGGCCAAGGGCAGCCTGGTGACAACTGGAGAGGGAGAGAAGCCAGACAAGTAAGACCTGAGATCAAAGCAGGACTCTTGGCTGTATCCTAAGAGAACTGGGAAGCCACATGAGGGTTTTACATGGTGCTGGATGGCTGTGAGGAAAAGGGTGTCAGAGCTGTTCAATAGCATCAAAGGGGAAATACATGCTCCCTTTAACCCCCCATCACTGCTCTTTCCCCACCGCATCTCTGAGACGCCCTGCATCAACCTCTCACCCTCCATCTATCCTCTTCACTCAGGGTCCCCACCTGCTATCTGCCATGTGTCTCACCAGATTCTTGCCCTTTTGGTCTAAGGCCACACAAATCCTATTTCCAATTCAGTCTTAAGGCAAGCAAGGATGGTTGGTGAGGCATCTTTTGATGGATTCAGGAACCCTAGATTAGAATTTTGAATGTGTTTCTCCACAGAACCAGTAGTATACAGCCCTAAGATTCTATTTCACCTATGGGATGGGTGACACTGGCTTTGGAAGACTGCCCTTGGGGCCTTAGATTTAGGACAGTGTTTCTATTAGAAAATTTATTTTATCAAACAATTTTAAGCCAATTTATAAGCCAAATGCATTTTCTTATTATGTTGCTTTTATGTAGATATGTTTTTGTGGGTAAATGCCTTATTAATATGGCCCTACTTTCTTATCTTTCATCTTTTCCATATTGAACTCAAGCAAGTGTTAAATTAATGAAGAACTGTCTGAACTGTCTGCCATACTCTTTAACCCCAATTTAATTTATCTATCTATCTATATTATTTATATATATACACACATATATAAATTGTTTATATAAAATTGTTTATATATAAATATATATAATTGTTTATATATGTGTGTGTGTGTGTGTGTGTATATATATATATACAAACCCGATGATGTATTATATATCTTTTTTTTTCCTGTTTCAACTCTGGCTGGTTAGGCCAATGATTGATTAGTATTGCTGGCTTTGATTGATATGGCCAGGTATAAAATTTGTTTTGAATTTCAGTGATGAATGGAAATTTAACTCGTTATTAGCTGTTACTCTCTTTGCAGTCACTATAGGCAGATGCTTCTGTTTGTCTTATGTGTATTCTTCCTGCCCACTTTTATTTAGTTAAACTCTCACCATTTTTTTCCCCAAGTGAGGGGTTATTTTTAAAGCTCTATTCTCTGACTTCTCTCATTGTGAATAGGACTTTCCCTATAATGGAATATGTCCACCTGCATTGGTTATATATTTAAAAAAAAGATTGTTTGCACTTACTATATGCTAAATATTCAAGGTCCAGTGGTAACTATAGGAAGGAAAGATACAATCCTTATCCTGAAGGGTCATATAATCTACAGCAATGCTGTTCAATAGAGCTTTCTGCAATGATGGAAACGATCTATGCCTATACTGTCAAATAGAGTAACCTCTAGCACTTACCATGTGTCTACTGAACCAAACATCTGAAATATTAGCTTTACTTAATTTGATTAATTAAAATTTAAATATCCACACAAATTCACTAAATTGGACAGTACAGGTCTGGTGGGGCGGGCAGAGAGATAGGCTAAATGAAATATAAAGAAGGTAAACAGGTAGAGCCTGATGAAAATAATTAACTACTTACACATTTTGGAACTGAAGGTAGAAGTGACTGAGTTCCAGATGAATGTCATTTTAATAGAAAAAATATGAGGTACCTGGCATTTATGCAATATTCTAGGGAATAAGTTAATGAATTTTAATATAGCTAAAATTCACACACAAAAAAAGAATGACCATTATTGATACTTTCCCAAATCTACATAGATGAAATCACCTATAGTCTTCCTCTTAAAAAGGACCTGGCGAGCATTCACAATACCAAGCACACAAACACTGTGAGCTTTTTGGAAAAAAACTGGAGACTCTGACACTGCCATCATGCTGGAAATCTTTATTTAATTGCTCTGTACAACAGGAAAGAAGTTGAACTTTTAAGGATAAATGGGTCATGAAATGATTTAAAATCACCAGAAAAAAACTGAGCATAAAATGTTTTATTCTGAAAGAATATCACCTCTTTTAGAAATCAGTTCAAAAGAACTCTTTGGCTAGAACAGCTTGTATCAGACAAGAGTTGTATGTTGTGTTACTGATAGCAAAAGGATTCCAAGATATTTTGTAGTTGAAAGTCCTTATACCTGGCTTGCAGTTACTAATCAGAGATGGAATTAAGGGAAAAAAAAGAGGTGGGGGGACCTTCTCTCATATTCTGGAAAAAAAATGATGCTGAAAGAAAACTTTCTTGGGCTGGGAAGTGTTGGTATGGTGGGGGGGGGGTCTTGGAATAAAAGGATGCCCTAAATGTCGTGGATCAGTTTGTGCTTTGGCTATGTGGGGATAGACAGTTCAAGACAGAACAGAGTCTTTGCTCTAGTGCACAGAAGCTGCTAGTGTAATTGCTACTAGAAAGCTAATAAGTGAAGAAAGACCACATACAGATAAAGGGAGGTGCACCTGGGGATATGCTTAAAAGTGTGGTTTTGAGGCAGGGGACACAGTGAATCTAGAAAGCAGCCTAAATCAAATCTGGGAGGAAGACCAACATTGGCTTAAATGGTGATAAATAAATAACAGATTCCTGAGAAAGGTCCTTATAATAAATTCAACTTTATGCTATTTAAAGATTGCTCAAATATACTAGAATGGAAATATGACATAATATATTTTAAATTCCTTTAACCTTGGCCTATTTGTGTCTATCACAGAAATCTCAGTTTAAAAAGAATCTGCTTTCCCACCAAAAGGGGACAATTGACTTCAAGTATATTTCCCTAAGACATTTTTGCACTTCTATCTCAGTCCCCTTATCATTAAAACAAGGTCAATAATATCTATATGTATCTCTGTCTGCTTCACAGAAATGACAATCAAGCAAGATAACAAGTGTAAAACTCTTGGAAAAGTTTAGCACATATGCAAATATAAGCAATTTTACTTATTATTCGAGTGGCAAGTGATCTCGCTGAAAGTTAAATCTATGAACCGAAACTTGGAGCAAGGTTTCAAGGAGCATGGAGATATGCCTCACTCTTCCTTCTGGCTAGTTGAAGGACCGTGGGTGGTGAGGGAAGATGGAGAATGTGGATGTCCAGCGTGCAAGTTCACTCAGTTGCTGGACTTCAAAGGATTTCAGAGCTGGTGAGAGGAAGGGTTAGGTTAAAAACATCCACTGAGGTCCAAATTCTTTTCAGTCTATTATAATGAAAGTTTAAAATATGTAACTGTTTTAATTATGCTACAGTTTCCAATGTGTGCATCTTGGTGGTTCCAGATATTTCTATAAGTTCTTATCCTTTTCCAAAGCACCTCGAACGATTGTAGAAAAGTGAGCCAAGGGGCTAGAGTGGTGGCTCAGTGGCAGAGCGCCTGCCTACCATGTGTGAGGCACTGGGTTCGATTCTCAGCCCCACATATAAATCAATAAAAGTCCATTGACAACTAAAAATTATTAAAAAAAAAAGAAAAAGAAAAAAGAAAAGAAAAGTGAGCCAAGATTAGGGATAGGTTGTCTTTTGGCTGTGTGACTGAATTATTTATGTGCTCCTTATTGGGCATAGTATTCTCAGCTTTTAAGTAAAATGGACCAGATGTCTTTGATTCCAGAATCCAGAGAGCAAGGATCATGGAGAGAGCTTACTTTACTAGGGCTCTCCAAAATCAAGCTGTAGCTACAGCTGCAAGGCTAGATTCACCACCTCCTTTCAGATTCTTCTTCTCAGTCATTATAGGTCTCAGGAAAGAGGATGAAGCAATGGAAGGTGTCTGAGGAAGGAAGAGGCCCTGCAGAGCTTTGGTGAACATCATATGTTCATTAATGATTGGCTAAGAGGGGCTCGAGATCCAGGGATCTTAAAACAGATCTGTTTGACTAGAGAGGAGCAAACTAACATGTATTATGTGCCAGCATGTGCAGGAACTCTACTGGGCACTTTATATATTATCAGTTTTGTGTAATTACAAGGAATAAGAAGAGCTCAATAATGTCCTTGTTGATGGAATTTGGCTATAAAGTATAATTCTGCAGGATGAATTCCAATTTCCTCTTGACTTTGGTATTGCATTAGAAATCATCCCTGTGGCTGTGGCTGCCTGAGTGATCTTTCTTTCCTGGAAGTTTCAGTTTTCGCATGCTCGATTATCATAACAAATTTGTGTCATCTCAGTTCTAATTAGGCCTACAGAAAGGGAATGTTGTCATCAGGGTTTTGTTCCAAATATACATTTTCCTCCTAAGTATGTTGGAATTAAAATATTGTCATTGTTGCCAAGGCCAAAATACAAGGTCGGTCATGTTTTAAGTTTTTGGAATCTGTTTTCTTAATTCCATACATTTGATGCTTGCTGTGAGAGTTTCCATGGGAAGGGAGGCTCCCCAGGGTGGAGGGAAGAAACTGGAGCCTCCCAAGCCACTCAGGCTGGGTCCCAGGCCTCTCTGGGGCCAAAGTCCAAAGCAACAGGCAAGCATAGTCCTTGCAGGGATTTTCCTTGCAGACTCTTTAGAACATTTTATTTTGTTTTCTTTTTTTCTTTTTCAGTATCTCCCTCTACAAGGACATGTGCTCCTTATGCATGGAAGCCCTGTTCAAACATTACCAAGAAGCCTGTTAAGAAGAAACAGCATCGACTGAGGAGTTCTCAGAAAAGAAAAGAAAAAAAAAAAAAAAGAAAGAAAACATTAGCCTTAACTACAGGGCAATACTGCTCTGATTACCCCAGCCCAGCTGACAGCTAGGTTGCCAGGCAGCACTTACTCTGCCAAGAATGGTGGTGGAATGAAGCAACCATGTGGTTTGTATTACCATTTTTTTCTGTTTTTTAAGATTTAGAAAGGAGAACATACTAACGATGATCATTCAGTTTGGAATGAATACATTTCCAATACAGCGTTCAGCAACTGCTGATTTGTTTTAAATCCTAAGGTTCATATTCACTTTTTTACAATGTGGACAAGATAGAGCACAGGATCTGTCAAGATCCTACTCTATGCAAATAACTAAGTTTCAGGCCAAAACCTTCTTTTAAAAAAAAGAATACAAAGAAAAAACAAGAAGACAAAACTTAAAACCTCTCCAGTATTTTCTAAGTTGCTACTTACAGACTTTATAAAGATAGCACAGGAAAAAGAGGCAAAAGCCAACGAGGAAGCTAAATTCTGCTTTCCATTTACTTGCAACATCTTTTTTTAAAGTTGGAGTCGATTTTTCAAAAAATGTCTAAAGTCATAATTTGCCACTAACTAATCAATCTGTGTAAACCAGTCTGCATTAAGCCATAAAATTCAAATGTTTTAATTGGTCTTTTATTATCTAATTTTTTTTTTATTTACAAGAAGAGAGACAAATCTGGGATTATTCACACTTTGAATTCTCCTGGGCGTTCTTGGAAATATGATTCTCAGAAAGTCTGAAACGCTAAATTGGAACAAATGATTCAATTCTTAGACAAATTTGCAAAGTCATATGGTTTGAGGATCTGCATTGAGTTTAGTGAAATTCCTTATGAATTAAGCCCCTTCCTCAAGGAAATAGAGTTACCTTCTTCCCCATGGAGCATGCCACCCTCCCGATGGCACTACTTTCATTCCTAAAAGAAACAAATTTTTAAAAAGTCATTTTTTTAAAAGTCATTGAAGTAGAACTTAGATGTCCCTTAGAATGCTATTGCCTTCTTATCACGTTTTAAGGATTCTGGGAAATCTAGTAAGACATTGTACTCCTGGAAACAAGACCTTTCTGTCAGTGGTTATAAGGCGGCAGAAACCAGAAAGAATCCATAGCTGGTGCAGTCGTACATTTCTGCAAAAACCTTCAAACAAAGAAAAAAATATAACTTGTCATTCATGATGCCCTGGTCTAAACAAAATGCAGGCCTGCTTAGAGCGAGGCTGTCAAACATAGTCATTTGGACTCCAAAATTATGCTTCGCAAAACACTAAATTAGTTTTGTCAAAACATAACCTTTGTTCTCAAAACATTGTCAGAACTTTTAAAGTGCAATAAAAGAAGGCAGCATTTGTGGTTTAGGTGACATTATACTCCATATTTATTTATTCTACACCGACTACATCTGTCTGTCTGAACGTCTGTCCGTCCGTCCGTCCGTCCGTCCGTCCATCCATCCATCCATCCATCCATCCACCCAACCATCCAACCCTTTCTTTTGGTCATTCAACAAGTGTTATTTACTTCTCACTATGTGCCAGACACGATCCTGGACTCTGGATATAAAGATAAAAATACACAGCCATATTCCCAAGGCTAGTATCCTGCAGAGGAGGTCTTGTAGACTTAGGAGACAGACATGAATAAATTGTTACGATCAAATAAAATGACCACATTAATGTGCAGGCAGTGGGAGCATGAGGGAAATAAAGGCTGTAAGATTACATTTGTTCAAAGTACTCAACTCAGCTGAAGACAGCCCACTCTTTCCAGATACTCTTTAACATTCATAGAAGACTTAATGCTGAAGTCTGCCCCCTCCCTTTTTTCTTGAGATGCACATAATTGATGGTGCAATCACAAGGAAAACACCTCTCTTTGGACACCCAGAGAAAGTATTCAAACATACATTTCTTAGAGGAGAGAACTTTTCTGGAAAGGGTGCAGGAAGAGAAGAAAGATTTTTAGCAGCTGTGATTGGTAGATTGCCCCTCACTACTGTAATGATATGTTTGTCACCTTTCTTAAGGAAACACATTAGGATGCAAATGAGTAACATTATTGTATGGACAATCTAAATCTGATGCAATGTATTTAAAAACATATTTTGGAAACTGTAGCTTGTTATACCTTATATTTGACAAAGTGCAAACAGATTGTGATGGGTGAGTTGATTCATTGCAGTTGACCATGGCTTATTGAAAATCTTGTCAAAGACATCCTTAAGGTGTTTACATATTCCCAAGTAAGAGGGTTTGTCATTTTATTTAATTTATTTTAAAAAAAAAAACTTTTTAGTTGTAGATGGACACAATATCTTTATTTTATTTGTCTATTTTTATGTGGTGCCAGGGATAGAACTCAATGCCTCATGCCTGCTAGGCAAACTCTCTGCCAACTGAGCCACAACCCTGGCCTCGGGTTTGTCATTACTTCAGGACCAAATTATGGAAAATAAATCTGAGTTTACCATTTTATTTTTGATGATCCTAGGTGCCACCAGCCACACAAAATGTGACAACCAGAAATGCCTTCTATTTTTCAAACCTTAAGGAGAAGAAAGTATGGTTGGATCCAACCTTTTTTTAATGCTTAGCCGGCAAATGTGATGGTATTGCAGTGGTTCTTTGGAAAACATTTGAGTTCCAACAGAACGTGCCACTGGAATGTAGCTGAGTAATTTATCCATTAGGATAGAGGTGGTGGTGATTGGGATCGAGTATGGTATATTTTGTAATCTGTAGGCCTAGGTGATGGCAATATTACAGGTATACTGCGTAGGGTAATTAATATTCCCTGAATCTTAGGTTGAAGTGACCATGTCCATCTAACACAACAGAATAAGCTTTTGTAAAGCCATTTAATAATTTAGAATTTTTAACTCTTATCATTGTACAACTCATTCAATAATAGTCAATGGAGGAGAGAGTTTGCTGATAATTTCCTGTCACCAAGGCTATAAATTAAAAACTCCAGATCAATTTTGACCACTTGTTTTAGTATCTGAGTTGCTACTGATATTTCTAACTATACTAAAGCCATTAAGAAACTCTTAGAGCTCACTGAATAAATGGCAAGAATGAGCTCACAACGCATAGCTCAAAATTTTTACTCTTTAAATAAACTTGTGTTATGGTTTGGATGTGAGGTGTTCCGCGAAAGTTCATGTGTGAGATAATGCAAGAAGGTTCAGAGGAGAAATGATTGGGTTGTAAGAGTCGATCCAATCAGCGAATTAATCCCCTAATAGGGATTAACTGAGTGGTATCTGAAGTAGTAGGGTATGGGTAGAGGTGGGAATTGGGGGTGAGGCTTTGGGGTATATATTTGTTTCTGGCAAGTGGAGTCTCTGTCTCTGCTTCCTAATGATGTGAGCTGCTCCTCTCTGCCACACTCTTCCCCTATGATAGTCCTCCCTTGAGCCCTGAGGAATGGATTCAGCTTCTTATGGACTAAGACCTATGAAACTGTGAGCACCTGGATAAACTTCTCCTCCTTTAAGTTGCTTTGGTTAGGTCTTTTAGTCACAGCATCGAAAAAACTGACTAAAACAATTTGCCATCTAAGAATTTTCACTGAATGTTGTGGGATGGTGACCATAGTCAGCTTGACTTCAACTCTCAAGGAGCACTTAGTGGCTTGGAACAAGAGCTGCTGAAGGAGGGTAGCCATTTCCCTGCAAACATTAGCCAAGGCCATTGAGCCCACTGTACTCCTGAAGCATGCCAGAGTGCTTTTCTTGGCTATTGTGGTCAGAAATCCATAATCAATACTATTCATTTAACTTAAACATGCTCTTCAAGTTAAAACAAAACAATAAACTGAGGCTACTTAGTCATTAAATGTACAGGTGCTCTCCAACTTATGGTGGTTTAATTTATGATTTCTTGACTTTCTAACAGTGTGAAAGCAATATGCACTCAGTAAAAATACTTCAAATTTTGAATTTTTATCTTTATTCAGGCTAACACTATTTGGTATGATCCTACCTTATGATGCAAGAGAGCAGCAGGGACCCACAGCTCCTGGTCAGTCATGCAATCACAATAGGAAACGCTGATAACTTACAGCATACTATGCTGCTAAGCTTTGATATTCAATGGCTGAGGTGTATTAAATGCATTTTGACTTATGATATTTCCAACTTAGGATGGATTTACCAGGATGTATCCCCATTGTAAGTTCAGGAGAATGTGTATATACCTCTGAGCCAGTCCCAAGCCTTAGCCCACCAATGGATGTGGAATACCTGTATTAGTCAGCTTTGAGTTGCTGTGATCAATTACTTGACAAGAATAACTTAGAGGAAGAAAAGTTTATTTTTGGCTCATGGTTTCAGAGGTCATTTCATGGTGGGTCAACTGTATTGCTCTGGGTTTGAGGTGAGGCAGAACATCATGGCGGAAGGGTATAATGGAGGAAAGTTACTCAACTCATGGCAGCCAGAAAGCAAAGTGGGGACACAGGGAAAATGAACCTTTCCAGGGCATGCCCCTGTGCCTTCTCCACCCATGCCCTACCTAATTATAGTTGTCACCCCTCTGCATCCTGCATTAACACAGGAACTTCTGGGAGACACCTCATATCCAAATCATAACACTGACCATCTATAGTTGCCATAGAAAGACCTCTGGACAGGTCTGCAAGAGCTGCCTCTGGTCGTGAGGTGCAGGAACAACCTGTCCATGCTCTCCGACAGAGTGAGGAACCTATGGGTCCTAGAATCCTGAGACAGAGTGGCCCTTTCTTCTATCACCCAGAATTTCTGCTTCCTCTAATTTTCTGGAGACCAGAGGGTGCCTGGTCTCTTACTAACATTTGATATTTGGAGTCCTTTTATCCTGCCTTATTCCTTCAGGCTTCTTTTCTCAATGCCAGACCTTGCCTCCTATTCCTTATCTCATCCATCTCAGACAAACATTTCTAGGCAAGATATAGCTCTGTGAGGAAAGCTTCTGATTTCAC